AACAGGCTCGCTCTCTGTCTCTGTGTGCGCATGTGTGTGTATGTGTGCGGGAGAAAAAGAAGAAGAGAGATTTTCCACGTGATCAGCATGTTCCCGAGTGTTGTTCTGGGGGCTCTGACTTGAGGGATTCCACATCCCCAGTGCTGTTTCTTCAGCAGTATGTGTGATATCAGAAGCAACACCCTCAAGCACCCTCCTTTTTTTTTTTGCCAGGCTCCCTTGTGGGAGGCTGTGCTGACAGCCCGACCTCCCTGCCACTATTCCCTTTGCAACCAAAACAGGGGGTGAGCTCTCAAGGGAGGAATTGCCAAAGAGTGCAGAGCCAGGGGCAGCACAGAGCTGGGAGTGAGGAGAGGCAGCAAGATGTCATGAAAAGCCTGGGCCCTGGGTTTGAATCCTAGCTTTTTTACTTAGTAACTATGTGACCTTGAGCAAGTTTATATCACCTCTCTGAGCCTCAGTGTCTTCATCTATAAAATGAGGCTAATGGTGCTTGCCTTGATAAGTTTCAAGAATTCAATGAGCTAAGTAGTGCCTTTGTCCTAGGAATTAGAGGTGACAACAGGGCCCTACAGCAGCCCGAGAGGAGCTGGTGTAAGGCAGCCTGTGTGGAGCAGGCAGGCAGGCATGGAAAGGCACACCTGAGCTGAGTGTTGAAGGCTGAGCAGGAGGTAGCCAGGTTGGGGCAATGGGGCAGAGAATATATGAGGTGGGGGGACAAGTCAGGAGAGCCATCCATGGCCACATTGAGGAAGTTGAAGGTTATCCCATGGCTGCTGGTTCCTGGAACACCCAAGTTAGATCATGTCCCTCCTCTGCTCACCTCAATCAGAGCAAACACCAAAGTCTTTATTGTAGGCTCATGCCCTTTCCGATTTGGCCCCCATGACCTCTCTGATCTTATCTCCTATCTCCTCTCATTCACTCTGTTCTACCTCCGGGCCTTTGCACTGGCTGTACCCTCTCTCTGAACTGCTACTGCCTTTGCCATGCAACTTACTCTCACTTCCGTCAGCACTCTGCTTATATGCCATTGCTCCAGAAAGGCCTTCCCTGAGCACCACATCTCAAACAGCACCTTTTTGCAATCTGCTTTATTTTCCTTCCTAGCACTTCACCGCTACCTGAAATGGCAGGATATATTTACTGGTTTCTTTCTTCTCTAAGCCTCCAACCTTGTGCCCCCTATAATGAGACCATTCTCTGGGTCACAGCCACACCCATTCCCTCGCTAGAACATCACCTCCCTGAGAATGTTCTTGTGCATTTTGCTCACTAGTATATTTCCAGCACCCAGCACTGTGCCTGGCATACAGAAGGTGCTCAGTTGTTGTTTGTTGAGTGAGTTATCTGGCACTGTGGAAGGGTTTTAGTGAAAGAATTTAGGTTAGTATGGTTTGTTTTTGTTTTTGTTTTTGTTTTTGAGACAGGGTTTCACTCTGTTGCCCAGGCTGGAGTGAAGTGGCACCATCACGGCTTACTGCAGCCTTGACCTCCTGGGCTCAAGCGATTTTTCTGCCTCAGCCTCCCTAGTAGCTAGGACCAAAGGCACGTGCCACCACGCCTGGCTAATTTTTTCTTTTTCTTTTATTTTTTTGAGATGGAGTGTCGCTCTGTCACTCAGGCTGGAGTGCAGTGGCACAATCTTGGCTCACTGCAACCTCCACCTCCCGGGTTCAAGCGATTCTTGTGCCTTAGCCTCCTGAGTAGCTGGGACTACAGGGGCCCGCCACCACACCCGAATAATTTTTTCGTATTTTTGGTAGAGATGAGGTTTTGCCATGTTGCCCAGGCTGGTCTTCAACTCCTGGCCTTAAGTGATCCTTCCATGTCAGCCTCTGGAGTAGCTGGGATTACAAGTGTGAGCCACTGTGCCCAACTAGATTTGTACTTTTTTTGTTTTTTGGAGACAGTCTCACTCTATCTCCCAGGCTGGAGTGCAGTGGTGCGATGTCAGCTCACTGTAACCTCCGTCTCCTGGGTTCAAGTGATTCTCCTGCCTCAGCCTCCCAAGTAGCTAGGATTACAGGCCCACCATGCTCAGTTAATTTTTGTAGTTTTAGTAGAGATGTGGTTTCATCATGTTGGCCAGGCTGGTCTTGAACTCCTGACCTCAGGTGATCCACGTGCCTTGGCCTCCCAAAGTGCTGGGATTACAGGCATGAGCTATGGTGCCTGGCCTAGATTTGTACTTTTGGTTGTTGTTGGGTTTTTTTTTGTTTGTTTGTTTTTTGTTTGTTTGTTTTTTTAAGACAGAGTCTTGCTCTGTCTCCCAGGCTGGAGTGCAGTGGCGCGATCTTGGCTCACTGCAACCTCTGCCTCCTGGATTCAAGCGATTCTCCTGCCTCAGCAGGAGATTACAGGCTCCCACCACCACGCCCGGCTAATTTGTGTATTTTCAGTAGAGACGGGTTTTCGCCATGTTGCCCAGGTTGGTTTTGAACTCCTGGCCTCATGCTCGCCTCAGCCTCCCAAAGTGCTGGGATTATAGGAGTGAGCCACCACGCCTGGCCCAGATTTGTACTTTTGAAAGCTGTTACTGGCCACAGGGTGAAGAATGGGTTGGAAGAGGAGATTGGAGGCTATGGTAACAGTTCAGGAGAAAGTATTTCTTAGAGCAGCCTCCTGAGCACATTCATTGACTCCCTCTGGACGGCAGCTTTTATTGAGCACCTACTGTGTTCCAGGCCGTGTGCTCTGTGTTAGCTGGGAGATTATCAAACTCTCTTCCTGAGCTGGGATTCTGGGAGTCATGAACACAAATAGCTGTCACGCTTTGCCAAAGCTAACCTGTGCCATAAAAAGCAGGACAGACATGTGCTGTGTGTGGGAGCTCTGAACAGGATCAGCAATAATTTCTGGCTGGAGGCGGGATTCAGGAGGGCTTCTTAGTGGTGGCATATGACCTGAATCTTGACGGAACTAGGATGTGGGGGAATTTCTCAGATTGCAGATGGCGGAGACGATGGGGATTGCATTTCAAGTGGTAGGTACTGTATGAGCAGTTTTGGAGATAGAAAGCAGTGGAGCATTTGGGAAAAGCAGGATCTGGGCCAGGCTGGAATGACAGGTGGATGGAGTAGGGGGCTGGCAGCCAACCCTGAAGTATGGCTTAATGTTTAAGAGTGTGGGCTCTGGAGTCAGACTGCCTGGATTTGAATCCGGGCTCTATCATTAGTGGCTGTGTGACCATAGATATGTTACTTAACCTCTCTGGGCCTCAGTTTCTTTACGTGTAAAATGAAGATCAATTACAGTACCTATCTCATATGGTTGTCTTGAAGAGTAAACAGGTTACTCAGTGTGAAGTGGTAACAATGGTACCTAAATGTACTAAATGGTCTATAAATAGTAGCTGTTGTATCTTGGAGAAGCCTCAAATGCCAGGATAAGGGACTTGGGCTATCTCTTCTGAGCAGTGGAAGTTATAGATGATGGTTCATGCGTACAGGAGACAGTTGATCAAAACTGGGCTTGAGCCGTGTGCTGGGAGGGGAGGTTTGAGAGATTAGTGGGCATGATCCTGCAGTTCTGGCAGTGGGCTGAGCTGGGGCTGAACCCTGGAGCGGCGGTGATGTCAGGGCCACCGTCCCAGGCCCCGGAGGGAAGAGAATTTGGGGTGGAGGGTGAGCAATGGGTGGGAGCTCCCCCCAGGGCGGAGCCGAGCTCCAGGGTGCTGCAGCCCGCGACCGGGCCTCGTGGGCGCAGCCTTCACGCCACATCCAGCCCCCAGTGCAAAGCGCTCTGCTGCGAGGCTGGCAGGCCTGTTGCAGCTCAAGCTCCTGCACTGGTAGGGTCCCCCCCAGTACCCACCCCAGCCCATTTCTGCCCTTTGCCTTCCCCTCTGCCAAATAGGGGCTGGGGAGGACCCCTTTGCCTGTTTACCAGCCAAGAGCCTCCAACCTTGTGCCCCCCATAATGAGACCATTCTCTGGGTCCCAGCCACACCTATTCCCCCCACAGCCTCCTCCATGCCTCACCTTCGTGTTCCTTCCCGCCCGACTCCTTCCCTGTCTTCCCCACCTCTGTAGCTCTTCACCATGCAGGCTCGGCTCAAGGCGCCTGGGCTCTGTCGCCACCTGGGTTCCCTGGCAGCTTGGTTGCCATGGCACCATGGGAGCAGTTCTGGTGGAACAACAGCTCTGGGAAACCAGGGCGGGCAATCCCGGGGCCCAGCTCCTGCCACGCGTGGAGACCCCCCTGCCCCCTTCCCCCAGCTGAGCAGAGGAGGCCATGAGGAGAAAAAGGAAGCTGCCCCGCAGGGCTGCTCTTTACCTGTGAGGATGCTGGATGGGAGGCGCCTCCCACTGTCGCTGCTCGCCCTGCCCTGCTGCTGGCCCTGCCCTCGCAGCCAGGGAACCCTGGGAACTGGCTTGGCCTGGCCTGGAGTTCAGGCACCAGGGGGCAGGGGCCAGGCTGCAGGGGGCAGGGCTGGGCAGGTGAGGGGAGCGTCTGGGTGGGCAGGGTGCAGGGGTGGGCCTCACACAGCTGGGGCAGGGCTGGGAGGGGGTGGCGCTTCGAAGGAGCTAATCTGGGGTGGTGCTGGGACTCGGACTGGGAGGGAAATCACAGCACACTGTGTTGGGGACAAGGCCAGGAGGGGATGGAGCTGTAAGGGGAAGAGGTCTGTGGGGAGGGGCGGAGCTGTGAGGGGACAGAAAAAAGGGCATGAAGAGACAAGACTGGGAGGGGAGTGGTCTCGGGGAGAAGGCTGTGAGGGGTGAGGAGGACGGGACCAAACAGATCCTTGAGGGAAAGGAGTCTAAGAGGATCTTGCTGTGAAGGCAAGGGGGCTGGAAGGGAAGGGACTTGGGTGGGAGTGGGGAGACAGTCCAAGATCTAGGACTCACCCTGGCCTGTAAGTGTTGGGTCCCTATATCTGTGAGGAAGCTGGGGTGGATGGGATGGGGGGCAGGGATCTGGCTCACCCACTCTCAGTCTGGCCCAGTAGGCCCCTCTCCTGTCCCAACATCCTGGCTCATCTTATCTCATCCCCACAGTGTGGAGGGTGATGCCCCAGGCAGTGACCTGAGCACAGCGGTTGATAGTCCTGGGAGCCAACCCCCCTACCGGCTGAGCCAGCTGCCCCCCTCCAGCAGCCACATGGGGGGCCCCCCTGCTGGAGTGGGCCTTCCCTGGGCTCAACGGGCACGCCTCCAGCCAGCCAGTGTCGCCCTGAGGAAGCAGGAGGAGGAGGAGATAAAGCGCTCCAAGGCCCTATCGGACAGCTATGAACTCTCCACAGACCTGCAGGACAAGAAGGTGCAGAAGAGGCAGTCTGGTTGGGAATGGGAGTCGGGATGCAAGAGAGCGCCAGGGGAGGGTTTGGGATGTGGCTCTTAGGGGTGGAATCAGGGAGGGATAATGAGGCTGGAATTGGAGAAGACTGGCCCAGGACCCTTCACCCCACTGGGGATGCACTCATTCACCACCCATCCACTGAGGCTTATATTCACTCAAGAAACATTTACTGAGCTCCCTGCCCAGGTCTTGGAGATGTAAAGATGAATGAGTCCTGGATCTGGTCCCCAAAAAACTCAGTCTAACGGGAAGCACACATATCAGTTGACCTTTTCAGAAGAGTGCCATACAATAGATTATTTAGCTAAAAAAAAGGTGGAGGGAAAACAAAATACTACATATAGGAAAAAACTGGAAGGACATATACGAAAACATATACCCTAAACCAAAGGACATATTCTAGTTAGGTGTTTGGAATGGAGGTAATTCCTTCCCTTCCTTCCTTCCTTCCTTCCTTCCTTCCTTCCTTCCTTCCTTCCTTCCTTCCTTCCTTCCTCCCTCCCTCCCTCCCTTCCTCCCTCCCTCCCTTCCTCCCTCCCTCCCTCCTTCCCTTTCCTCCTCCCTCCTCCCCTTCCTTCCTTCTCTTCCTTTCTCTCCCTCTCTCTTTCTCCTTTCTCATTCTCTCTCTTCCTCCTTTCTTTCCTTCTTGCTCTCCATGTATTTTTACCTTGCTTTCTTTTTATCGGCTTCTCTGTTTGTTTCCTGTTTTCAAATGATCAATATGTTCTTCTTGCAAATAAGAAAACAAAACATAATCCAATCCCATTTGACCAGTGTTATCTGAAATTCAAGTGAGGAGACAACACTGAGCACCTAGCCTGGCGCTTTTGGTGGCTGTAAGCAGTCAGCGGTGACTCCAGTGGGGGTGGTGTGGTTTAGTGCCTAGGGAGATGAGGCTGCCATGACTTTCTGACCTTGTTCCCCTCGACCCTTCTCTGCCAGGTGGAAATGCTGGAGAGGAAGTATGGGGGCTCCTTCCTGAGCCGCAGAGCTGCCAGGACCATCCAGACAGCCTTCCGCCAGTACCGCATGAACAAGAACTTTGAGCGGCTACGCAGCTCAGCCTCAGAGAGCCGCATGTCCCGCCGCATCATCCTTTCCAACATGCGGATGCAGTTCTCCTTTGAGGAGTATGAGAAGGCACAGAACCCCGCGTACTTCGAGGGCAAGCCTGCCTCGCTGGACGAGGGTGCCATGGCTGGTGCCCGGAGCCACCGGCTTGAACGGGGGCTCCCATATGGGGGCTCCTGTGGTGGGGGCATCGATGGTGGTGGAAGCTCCGTCACCACATCTGGGGAGTTTTCTAATGACATCACAGAACTAGAGGACTCCTTCTCCAAACAGGTCAGGATCCCTGAAAAGGGCCTTTCTTCTCCATCCCCATGCTCTGGCTACTCCTGCTACTTTTTACCTAGATTGCAAACTGAAAGAAGTTGCGTGACAGGCGTTTAATAACAGCAAATAGCTACCATTTGAGTTGGGACTGTGAGAATAATGAGAAAGAACTGGCAAGATAGAAATTACTTTTTTTTTTTTTTTTTTGAGACAGAGTTTCGCTCTTGACACCCAGACTGGAGTGCAATGGCACGATCCTGGCTCACTGTAACCTCCGCCTCCTGGGTTCAAGTGATTCTCCTGCCTCACTTTCCGGAGTAGCTGGGATTGCAGGCATGTGCCACCACGCCCAGCTCATTTTGTATTTTAGTAGAGACAGGGTTTCACCATGTTGGCCAGGCTGGTCTCAAACTCGTGACCTCAGGTGATCCACCTGCCTCGACCTCCCAAAGTGCTGAGATTACAGGCGTGAGTCACTGCGCCCAGCCAGAAATTACATTGTTAAAACAAGCAAGTTACAAATATGGGTGTTCCATGCTGTTCCCTTCTTGTGGGAAAAAATATATATGGGTGTATAGAACAAATAAGAAAAAAGTTCTCATTACTTGGAACTTGATCTACTATAAAATAAAGCTTAACTCACAGGTAATGAGCTCCTACTGTGTGCCAGTGCTGTGTATGCCTCACACCAGACCTGTGAGACAGGGATTATTATTCCCATTTAATAGAGGAGGAGACTGAGATTGGTCCTTGTCCTCAAGGATCCCAGTGCAGTAGGAAATGGCAGACATGTGTGCATTACTGTCTCCTGAAGTAGAGTGTGCTCTGAGCCATGAGAAAGGCTATATAGTACAATGTATGGTACCTTGGGAACCCAGAGGAAGGGGAGGTAACTTTCTTCTGGGAGAACCACAGAAAACCCACTTGAGAAAACAGCATTGGAGATGGGCCTTGCCAGACAGAAAAGATTTAGCAAGTTAGAAATACTTGGAAGGGTGTTGCTTACATAGGCGTTGCATCAGCAAAAGCTTGGAGGGGTGGGATTGTAACGCAGTAAAGGTAGTGGGAGATCGTTCTAGGGTTGGGGTGTGTCAACATACTTGCCCAGGTGTGAATCCCAGTTCTGCCATTTCCCAACTGTGTGGCCTTGGCAAACTGTTTAACCACACTGAAACATGATCAATAAAATGGAGAGAAAATAAAATGGAGAGAAAACCCTTTTAGAGCTATTTGGAAGACTCAGTGCAACTGTACAGGTAATATATATGAAAACGCCTAGTACATAGTAGCTGCTAAGTACATGTTAGTTTTCTTCCTAAAACCAAGAAGGTACTTGGTAGAGATTGTTGAATGAATGGATGAAGCTTTATAAGCGAAAAAGTCACTCTGCTCTAACCTCTATGATCTGGCCTTGCCATCAGCCTGGGCATGCCTCCTTGGACCTGGTGAAGAGGTGGAGGGAAGGACAGGAATATTGAAGGGAAGATCTATATCATTTATCTGTTCATTCATACCACAAAGATTTAATTGAACATCTCTTCTGTGTCAAGCAATGTGTTGAGCTGAGCTAGAAAGAGAAACCAGGCCTGGATCCATCCCTCAAGGGAGGAATGGGGAATAGGAGATCAGTCTGGGAACCAGGTCTGATCCCAGCTCTGAGTGCTATTGAAGTCTGATGGGGAAGTATATCCGTTATCTGTTAGCTGTGTAACAAATTACCCCCAAATTTGGTAGCTTAAAACTGACCCAAGAGACTGAGCCTAAACCATAAACATTTATTATCTCATACAGTTTCTGGGGGCCAGGAAGCTGGGAATGGCATGGCTGAGTGGTTTTGGTTCAGGGCCTTTCATGAGGTTGCAGTCAAGCTGTAGGGAGAGCCTGCAATATCTGAAGACTAGACTGGGGCTGGCAGTCTGCTTTCAAGCTCACTCGCTTGGCTGTTGGCAGGAGGATTCAATGCCTCACCCTGTGGGCCTCTCTATAGGACTGTTCGTGATGGGCTTTCCCCAGGTTGGGGGGTCTGAGAGAAAGAGTCCAAGTGACAAGCGACCAAGAGTGCTCAAGATGGAAGCTGCAGTCATTTAAATTTTTTTTTTTAATTTTGTAAATTAAAAAAAAATTTTTTGCAGTCTTTTTTTTTTTAAATTTAAATAATTTTTTTTTTGGCCGGGCATAGTAGCTCACACCTGTAATCTCAGCACTTCGGGAGGCCAAGGCAGGCGGATCGCCTGAGGTCAGGGGTTTGAGACCAGCCTGTCCATCATGGCGAAACCCCGTCTCTACTAAAAATATAAAAATTAGCCAAACATGGTGGTGCGCGCCTGTAATCCCTGCTACTGGGGAGGCTGAGGGAGGAGAATCGCTTGAACCTGGGAGTTGGAGGTTGCAGTGAGCTGAGATCGTGCCACTGCACTCCACCCTGGGCAAGAGCGAGACTCTGTCTCAAAAAAACAAATAAAAATTTTAGAGACAGGATCTTGCTGTGTTGCCAGGCTGGAGTGCAGTGGCGTGATCGTAACTCACTGCAGTCTCAAACTCCTGGGCTCAAGTGATCCTCCTGCCTCACTCTCCTGAGTAACTGGGACTACAGGTGTGTACCACCACACCCAGCTAATGTTTTTATTTTTTGTAGAGGTAGAGTCTCGCCATGTTGCCCAGGCTTTTCTTGAACTCCTGGGCTCAAGGGATCCTCCCATCTTGGCCTCCCAAAGTGCTGGGATTACAGGCATGAGCCACCATGCCCAGCCTCTGCAGTCTTTTAAAACCTAATTTCAGAAGTGGCATACATTCACTTCTGCCATATGCTGTTTGTCACACAGACTAACTCTGGTACAATGTGGTACCCTAGGGTGTGAATACCAGGAGGCAGGGATCATGAGCGGTCAGTTTAGAGTCTGGATACCACAGGGAAAGAGCATTACCAGCTGTGGTCCAGACGCTCAAGGTCAAATGTTATGGATTTCCTAAGAGAATTCCCACAGAGGAAGCTGGGATTTTGGTTTACCCTCGGGGATGGCAGAGGCAAGAATGTGGCTTGAATCAGGGAGGAGGTAACATTTGGCTTGAGTCTAAATGGACACAAAGGAGGTATTGGGGTATGAGCTGAGTGGGGGAACTCGTGGGCATTAGTCCCAGCTCCTGTGAGCTCACAATGGTTCCCTGGGAGTCATTTTATAGACCACAGGGAGTTTGTCAGGGCTGGGGGAGGGGAATCCACCCTCCTTGCTGACCTACCAGGAAGACTCCCCCTTTTCCCTTACCCCCCTCCCTCATTCCCACCTTCCACCATTCTTCCCTTTATCTTTCTTTCTTTTCTCTCCCTTTCCCTCCTCTCCTCCCCCGCCTGCACAGGTAAAGTCTCTGGCTGAATCCATCGACGAAGCCCTGAACTGCCACCCGTCAGGGCCCATGTCTGAGGAGCCAGGTTCAGCCCAGCTGGAGAAGCGGGAGTCAAAGGAACAGCAAGAGGACAGCTCGGCCACATCCTTCAGTGACCTTCCCCTCTACCTGGATGACACAGTTCCCCAACAATCCCCTGAGCGACTGCCCAGCACAGAACCCCCACCCCAGGGCCGGCCCGAGTTCTGGGCGCCAGCCCCTCTCCCGCCAGTTCCTCCACCAGTGCCATCAGGAACCCGGGAAGACGGTAGCCGTGAGGAAGGCACTCGCAGGGGTCCCGGGTGCTTGGAGTGCCGGGATTTCCGGCTGCGGGCCGCCCACCTTCCCCTGCTTACCATTGAGCCTCCTAGTGACAGCTCCGTGGACCTGAGTGACCGCTCAGATCGCGGCTCTGTCCACCGCCAGCTGGTGTATGAGGCTGATGGCTGCAGCCCCCATGGGACCCTGAAGCACAAGGGGCCACCAGGCAGGGCCCCGATCCCACACCGCCACTACCCAGCCCCTGAGGGCCCAGCCCCAGCCCCACCAGGGCCCCTGCCACCAGCCCCCAACAGTGGCACTGGGCCCAGTGGTGTGGCTGGGGGTCGGAGGTTGGGGAAGTGCGAGGCAGCAGGCGAGAACTCTGATGGTGGAGATAATGAGAGCCTCGAGAGCTCCAGCAATTCCAATGAGACCATCAACTGCAGCTCCGGCTCCTCTTCTCGGGACAGTCTAAGGGAGCCTCCGGCCACCGGCCTGTGCAAGCAGACTTACCAGCGGGAGACAAGGCACAGCTGGGACTCGCCAGCTTTCAACAATGATGTGGTCCAGAGGCGGCACTACCGAATCGGCCTCAACCTTTTCAACAAGTGCGTGCTGCCCGTTCTAGCCTGCTCGCCCTTTCCTACCCTGCCACGGGTACTTGGGTTCCTGGGACAGAACTCCACGCAGTGATCCCGGTTCTGCCATCCTTTCATTTTGTGGAACGGTATTTCTCCCCAGACATTCAGGGAAGAGGATTGGCAACAGGGTGAAAGAGTAGAGAGTCCCTTAACACACCTGGGCAGTCCTAGTACTGCCTCTGGCTGACTGTGCGATCTTGGGTGAGATGACCCCACTAAATGGATTCTGAAACTTGTCCTCCCCACCTTCCCTTTTTAGAGGGGAGGTGATATGGTGTAGAAAGAGCCCTAGCCTGGGAAACAGGAGATCTGGCCCCCGAGTGGGCCTTTGGCCAGACTCGCTGCATAGCCCTGGGCAAGGTGCATTCCTCCCCTGGGCTTCTATTTTTCCACCTACCACTAGCAGAATGTGTATGTGAGAGATGTTGGGGGCAGGGTGGTGTGCTAGACCCTTCAGTGACTGTGACTAAGCTCTTCCTAGGTGCCTGGTCTTCTGTCAGGTGTTTAGGAGTGAGGTGGGAGTGTGACATTTGATTAGAACATAATTGGAAAACATGAGATGTAATTAGAAAACATTAAATGTAATATAAGCCATTACTTGAATGCCTTACATCTTTATAGCTTATTAAACACTGCCACCTATATTTCATTCTTACAATAACTCAGCAAGGCAGGCAGTAGTGTTCCTGTTTTGTAGATAAGGAACCAAGGCTTGGAGAAGTAAAAGGAATTGTCCAAAGTCATACAACTGGGAAGTGACGGATCTGAGACTCCTATGGCACCAGTCCCTTCTAAATTTTAACCTTGTGGGGTCCTAAGGTTCTGGGGTTCTGAATATGGGATAACTGTGACCCAGATTTTGGCCCAGCTCCCTGGAAATCTAGGGAGCGCCTTGTCTATAGAAACACTCAGAGGAAGTTGGTGAGACCTGCCTGTGTGGGATGTGGGATATGGAACAAAGTAACCTCTTCACTTCTTCCCTACTCTGTGGGTCTGTGACTCACAGGGAAGGTGCTCAACCTTGCTCCTTGGTTCTTGCTGGGAAGGTCAGAGCTCCTGGCGTAGAGCGGGCTCTCACTAGATACTGATTTTCTTTCTATTGTGGTGTAGCTCCAGTGAAGGGGGATGTTGGGTTCAAGATACCTTGGGATTTTGAAGCTCCTCGAAATGGGCAAGTGGCTTCTTCTCTCTAGGCCTCAGTTTTCTCATTTGAGCCATGATGGGATTAGATCAAAGTATGTATTTGACTTCGTTGGTCCTCTGAGGCCGGACTTAGTTGGGCCCAAAATGAGTTCAACAAATGAGACAGAGAGCACAGTTCCAGGAGGACAGTCATCTCATCTACCTCCCCTCTTTCTGCAGGAAGCCAGAGAAGGGTATCCAGTATCTGATCGAGCGGGGCTTCCTGTCAGACACACCGGTGGGAGTGGCTCACTTCATCCTGGAGCGGAAAGGCCTCAGCCGGCAGATGATAGGGGAATTCCTAGGGAACCGGCAGAAGCAGTTCAACAGAGACGTGTTGGAGTGAGGACCCCAGGATGGGGCAGGCTGGGCCAGGGATTCCTGGAAAAGGACAGCAAGAGGGAGGAAGGGGGCAGCCTGTGTCCCTTTAGCTCAAATAAGCTTTTCAAAACAGGATGAATAGACCTTCCTGCCCCCGTACCCTTCTGCCCCAAAGGGGTCTGATCTTGTTTGGCTCTATTCCTAAAGTCTTCTATGTGGCCCTGGGCAAGACGTGCTCATCCTGTGGCCTGTTTTGGGCCTCAGTTTTCCCGTCTCTGAAATGAGTGGCTCGATGGAAAGGGCCTTTAGTGACCACATGCCTTGCCTCAATTTTCTGAGATGGATTTGATTTCAAACATTCTGTCCTCATGTGTACTTGCTCGGGCCATGGGTCCTGAATTTGGGAGTGTATCAGTGGGGGTGTTGGTCCATTTGAGCAGGTCCAGGTGGGTCAGAGGTTTTCTGCAGAGGAATTGAAAGCACCACACCCCCTTCTTTGCTCCTTAGCTGTGTGGTGGATGAGATGGACTTCTCCTCAATGGATCTGGATGATGCACTCCGGAAGTTCCAGTCCCATATCCGGGTTCAGGGTGAGGCCCAGAAAGTGGAGCGACTCATCGAAGCCTTCAGGTGTGCCTGTCTCCCACTTGTGAAGCTGCCCCTCCCTCCTGTGGGCATCGACGTAGTATGTGTTTACAAGTCGCTTCTCTGAGCCTCATACTCTCTTCACCATAAAACAGAAATGATAAATCCTCTCTTGCAAGGCAATTGTGAGGATCAGAGGTAGTGCATGTAAAGTATCTAGCTCAGCCTCTGGGACATGGGCATTCGATAAGTGACAACAACATCAGCAATAACAGCTAACATTCATGGAGCACTTATTAGGTATCAGGTGCTGAGCTGAGCACTTTACACGATTATTTCACCGAATAATCACAACCACCCCATAAAGTAGGCACTTCTATTATTATTCCCATTTTATAGAGGAGAAATCAGAAGTTTAGAGAGGTTAAGTAACTTGCCCAGGGTCATACAGTGAATAAGTGGTAGAACCAGGATTTGAACTTGTATGTGTCTAAGTCCATGATCCATCCATGCCCTTAACCATTTTACTCTACTATAAATGCTTTGGAGATCAGGTAGGCCGGGGTCTAAATCCTGGCTCTGCCACTTTAGGGTATTTAGAAGAGAAACAGGAGTTGCTGAGAACTTGTTTCCCACAATGGGGGAAGGATTTGCTTTGCAGTTAGAAATATCTGGGTTTTCATCCTGGCTTCACCATTTACCAGCTCTGTTACCTTGGGCAAGTTACCTTGTCACTTTGAGTATCAGTCGCTTCATCTTTAAAATGGGACTGCCAATAGCTACCTTGCAGGATTATGATAGGATTACATGAAACAATGTATATAAATCCCCTGGAAGAGCTCTGTAAAAGGTAGCGATTGTAATTTTTACATGCTGGTCTAGGGGAAGCTCTGAAGAGGACAGACCCAGAGATCAAGAAAGTATTTCTTGCAGGAAAGGGTTGCTGGTATCAGACTGGGTGGGTGGTGGGTAGGCAGAGATGGCTGCTTCCTGAGTCTGGCTTTGACCCCTCCTGCCCTGCAGCCAGCGGTACTGTGTCTGTAACCCAGCCCTTGTGCGCCAGTTCCGGAACCCAGACACCATCTTCATCCTTGCTTTTGCCATCATCCTCCTCAATACCGACATGTACAGTCCCAGCGTCAAGGCTGAACGAAAGATGAAACTAGATGACTTCATCAAGAACCTGAGAGGTGACTTCCTTATCAGCCTTTCCTGCCCTTCGCCTGGGAAGGGAAAGTGGGGGTTAAGGTGGGGAAGGATGCAGGAGATGCCATCTGTTCCTTGGAAATTAATTTGTGATGCTGTCACTTTCTGCCCTAGCTGGATGTTCCCAGGATATTCACTTATTAATTCACTCAAATCGTCATTTGCCCATTGTACTGAGCTTCTGCTGTGCACCAGGTTTCTAGGTCCTGGGGTTCAAGCAGTGAACATGATAGATTAAAGTCCTGACTCTTACAAGGCTTTATTCTGATTCATTCATTCAGTCATTCACTTCTCTTTTCCCCACTCCCTCTTTCCCTCTCTTATTTATGCCCGTGAGGACTCATTTAATTATTTTGCGTATCTTTTCCTCTATTCATGCGTTCATTTATCACTCGACCAAACAACCAGCCAGCCAGTCAACACTTAGCACTTAGTGTGTGCCAAGCCCCATGATGGGTGCCAAGGACAATGGAGAGGAATCTGCCATACTCCCTGTTCTGAGAGAGCTCCCCGTGTGTGGGAGAGGCTGACTTGTAGCACCCAGATAACTAACATAAGACAGAAAGTGAACAGTGACATCAGAGAGGCCAAAAGTGCAGTCAGAGCTCAAAGGAGGAAGAGCCCACCTCTAGCTAGCTTCCCGGAGGAGGCAGTATTTTTATTTTAAGGTGGGTCTTGAAGGCATGGAGAAGGTGACACAATAGAGATAGAGGAGGGCTTACCTACCAGTGAGAATACCAAAGACGCAGAGGCAGGAACATTTATTTTCTTTAGGGAACAACTGAGGGCTGGGTACGGTCGCTCACGCCTGTAATCCCAGCACTTTGTGAGGCTGAGGCAGGTGGATCACATGAGGCCAGGAGTTCCAGACCAGCCTGGCCAACATGAGGAAACCCCATCGCTACTAAAAATACAAAAATTAGCAGGCATGTTGGTGCATGCCTGTAATCCCAGCCACTCAGGAGGCTGAGGTAGGAGAATTACTTGAACCCGGGAGGCAGAGGTTGCAGTGAGCTAAGATTGCACCACTGCACTCCAGCCTGAGTGACAGAGCAAGACTCTGTCTTCAGAAAAAAAAAAAGAAGAACAATTGAGATGAGGTCATTGATGAGTTGGGAAGGTCCCAATATATGAGGTTCCAATATATGGAACTAATATATGAGGGCCTTGAATGCCGGATGAAAGGTGTCACCTTGCTCTTTTTGCTTATTCTACTGATGTCGAGCCCTCCCTATCACCAAAGAGCAGCCTACTAAAAATGGTACAGATGTTAAGATCATTTAAGCAGAAAAGAAAGAGGGAAATAGAGTCAAAGAAAAAAAGCAAACTGAAAACAAGACAAATTGGCTGCCCATTGGGTTTGTGCAGCTGTGGCTGCTCTGGTAAGAAAGTCAGTGTGATATAGAATGTTCCTTTAGCACCTGTCCAAGGAGGAGATGTGGCATTTCCAAGGAAGAAAACATTTTCTCCTTTTTGTTTTCTGTTTTTTTGTTTTTTATTTTCAGAGACAGGGTCTCACTCTCTCACCCAGGCTGGAGTGCTGTGGTGCTAGCAGAGCTCACTACAGCCTTGAACTGGGCTCAAGCGATCCTCCCACCTCAGCCTCCTGAGTAGCTGGGAATATAGGCGCGGGCCACCATGCCCAACTAATTTTTAAATTTTTTGTAGAGACGGGGTCTTGCTATGTTGCCCAGGCTGGTCTCAAACTCCTTGCCTCAACTCGGCCTCCCAAAGTGCTGGAATTACAGGTGTGAGCCTCCACGTCCTGCCCAGAAAACATTTTCTCTAGCAGAGGATTTAGAGAGAAGAGTGAGTAGGTTTCACTCAGCAATCAGAAATGGAGAAGGATGGTGAAGATGGGAGGAGGGAGTTAGATCAGAGGCCATTTGGAGTTGTCTCCTATAATTTTGCCATCATTCATTCATCCATTCTTTTTCCCTGTGTCTCTCAATATGTCTGTGTGTGTGTGTGTGTGTGTATCTTTTCCCCTCTAATTATTATTATTATTATTTTATTTTATTTCATTTTTTTTTTTTTTTGAGACAGAAGCTCGCTCTGTCGCCCAGGCTGGAGTGCAGTGGCCGGATCTCAGCTCACTGCAAGCTCCGCCTCCTGGGTTTACGCCATTCTCCTGCCTCAGCCTCCTGAGTAGCTGGGACCACAGGCACCCACCACCTCGCCCAGCTAGTTTTTTGTGTTTTTTAGTAGAGACGGGGTTTCACTGTGTTAGCCAGGATGGTCTCGATCTCCTGACCTCGTGATCCGCCCGTCTCGGCCTCCCAAAGTGCTGGGATTACAGGCTTGAGCCACCGCGCCCGGCCTCCCCTCTAATTATTAAATAAAGAAGCAAATAAATGAAGGTAATACATACTTGTTTCAGAAATGTTGGAAGATTCAGAAAATTAGAACATTTCTTTTTATCACCCAAAATTTGCCCCCTAGAGGCAATCATAGTTAATGTTTTGGTGCGTTCTAATCTTTTCCCCCATGCATATGTAACTTTTTATATAGTTCAGATCATACCATACATGCAATTTGTCTTACTCTTTTCACATAATTTGCTACTGTAATTTTCTCAAGCTATCAAAATGTTTTTGTAAATGTCAAGTTTTTAATAGCTGTGCACTATTTTATTAAATGGATATACTATCCTTTACTTGACTGTTCCTCTATTGTTAAAATTTAGGTTGTTTCAAATTGTCCCCATAAGTAACACTTGGTGAGTATTCTTTTTATTTATTTATTTTTTTTGAGACAGGGTCTTGCTCTGTTGCCCAGGCTGGAGTGCAGTGGTGCAATCATGGTTGACTGCAACCTCCTCCTCCCAGGCTTAAGCTAGTATCCCACTTCAGCCTCCCAAGTAGCTGGGACCACGGGTGTGTGCCACCACACCCAGCTAATTTTTGTATTTTTTGTAGAGATGGGATTTTGCCATGTTGCCCAGGTTGGCTCTCGAATTCCTGGGCTCGAGCGATCCACCTGCCTCAGCCTCCCAAAGTGCTGGGATTACACTACGCCTGTCCTAGCAATCTTTTTTTTTCTTTTTTTTTTTTTCTTTTTTTTTTTTTTTAGACAGAGTCTCAATCTTGTTGCTCAGGCTGGAGTGCAGTGGCCCGATCTTGGCTCACTACAGCCTCTGCCTCCAGGGTTCAAGCAATTCTGCCTCAGCCTCCCGAATAACTGGGACTACAGGCACACGCTGCCACGCCTGGCTAATTTTTTGTATTTTTAGCAGAGATGAGGTTTCACAATGTTGGCCAGGATGGTCTTGATCTCCTGACCTCATGATCTGCCCGCCTCGGCCTCCCAAAGTGCTGGGATTACAGGTATGAGCCACCATGCCCGGCCTGCACTAGCATTCTTGCACATACATCTTGCACATATTTCTGAGTAGTTCCTTAAGGTAGATTCCTAGAAGAAGAATCACTGTGTACAAACATTTAGATTCTTGCCAAATTACCTTCCAAAAGAGTTATGTTACCATATATGCCCACTTCCCTGCACTCTTCCTAGCACTGGATTTCATTTAAAAGTATTTTTGCTAATTAGAAAGGCAAACAATAGTATCTGATTGTTTTAATTACAGTGTATTCTGAGTTGTTGAGAGAAAATTCCCCACCCCGGCGAAGACAGCAACTGGCTGTTGTGTTGAAGGACATCCTCCCTGCCCCAATCCTGGCTAAGGGGCTGAGGATACCCACTGACCCTCAGTCCTGACTGTCATGGCCCGTGCCTGGGTGTGGGAGTTGTGGAGCATCCCTACCACCCAGTGCCCATAATTATGTGACATATCCCTGTGTTACTCCCTCCCCCAGGGGTTGACAATGGTGAAGACATTCCCCGAGACCTCCTGGTGGGCATCTACCAGCGCATCCAGGGGCGTGAACTGCGGACCAACGATGACCATGTGTCCCAGGTGCAGGCTGTGGAGCGCATGATTGTTGGAAAGAAACCAGTAAGTGCCTTGGAAGGCTGCAGAGGGGCCAGGGTTCAGGTCTGCCTCTGCCACTAAGTGCACCTCCTGAGTCACTGCACCTCCCTGAGCCCCAGGTGCCCTTTACCTGCAATACGGAGTGGGTGATAATGCATTCCTCAGAAGGCTGTGATGCAGAGTGAATGCATCGAGCACATTCCAAGGCCCATAGTGGGTACTGTATAAATATTAACATCGTTTTCGCCTCTGGCTTTGCCTGTCCATCCTAAGTGAAGGGCCAAGCTAATGGTTATAAGAAAACCAAAGCAAGAACACACTTTAGGCCAGGTGCAATGGCTTGTGCCTGTAATCCCAGCACTTTGGGAGGCCGAGGTGGGCGGATCACCTCAGGTCAGGAGTTCCAGACCAGCCTGGCTATCATCGCAAAACCTGTCTGTACTAAAAATATAAAAATTAGCCAGGCGTCGTGGTGCGTGCCTGGAGTTCCAGTTACTCAGGAGGCTGAGGCAGGAGAATCGCTTGATCCCAGGAGGTGGAGGTTGCAGTGAGCTGAGATCGTGCCAACGCACTCCAGCCTGGGTGACAGAGCAAGGCTCCATCTGAAAAAAAGAAAAAAAAAAAAAAAAAAGAACAGGCTTTAGCCAACAAACATTTGTGGATGCCTTTCCACTGAGCCCAGCATTTTACTGGGCACCAGAGTTGGTGCTGGGCATTCATATATATGAATCAGACCGTGGTCTCTGTCCTTGGGGGCACTCACAGACCAGTTGGGGTGTGAGACAAAGACACATATAATACTTCTGCCTTATGGTCCAGTTTAGGAGAGGAGAAAGGAGAAAGAGGCCGTTTTCAGCCTGGAGAAATCAGGGAAGGCTTCTTGGAAGAGATAATTTGGGGATTGAATTTTTTTTTTTTTTTTGAGATGGAGTTTCACTCTGTCACTCAGGCAGGAGTGCAGTGGCATGATCTTGGCTCATTGCAACCTCCACCACCTGGGTTCAAACGATTCTCCTGCCTCAGCCTACTGACTATCTGGGATCGCAGGCGCCAACCATCATACCCAGCTAATTTTTGTGTTTTTAGTAGAGACGGGGTTTCATCATGTTGGCCAGGCTGGTCTCGAACCCCTGACCTCAGGTGATCCGCTCACCTCGGCCTCCCAAAGTGCTGGGATTACAGGCGTGAGCCATCATGCCTGGCTGAGATGGAAATTTGAAGGGGAGTTGAAATATGACCATGCAGAGCTGGACAAGAAAGATATTCCAGACAGAGGGACAAAGGCAAGGTAGAAGAAAAGTTTAGGCCTTAGTCGCTGATACCCCTTGTGTCAGAGTGATACACATGTATGAGAGGTAAACTTTTTTGCGGTTGAAACTTAAGGTGCCAGGAGGCCTGAAGCTGCGGGCTGGCCTTGCTGACACCTGTTTCTCCATGCCTGTCTAGGTCCTGTCTCTCCCTCACCGTCGACTGGTTTGCTGCTGCCAGCTCTACGAGGTGCCAGATCCAAACCGCCCCCAGAGGCTAGGGTTGCATCAGCGAGAGGTCTTCCTCTTCAATGATCTCCTTGTGGTATGAGCACTGTGGGGGAGGAGATGGAAGGGGGATAGTGAGGTTGACACCTGAGTCTGGTGTGAGCCATGTTGATGTTGGTGTGTGGTGTGGTGTGTGGAGTGTCGCAGGCGAGGTGTTCTGCCATGCCATCCGCATGGCCTCAGGCAAGGCCCAGGCCTTCTCTGCCCCTCCTTTTCCTCGCAGATTCATTTGGAGATAGTAACAGACGCACAGGGACAGAATATATGAGGACCAAAGGGATGACAGACTTACAACCTGGGAAGTGGTAGGAAATACCCTTGTCCACCTCAGTAGCCCATAGGGTTGTGTGAAGAGGGCTGAACCTGTGACCCCCAGGTCAGTCTAGAAATCTTCAGTAATCAAGATGCTTGTAGTGGGCCGGGCACCATGGCTCACGCCTACAGTCCCAGAGCTTTGGGAGGCCAAGGCAGTTTGAATCACTTGAGCCCAGGAGTTTTGAGACCAGCTTGGGCAACATGTCGAAACCCTGTCTCCACAAAAAATACGAAAATTAGCCAGGCATGGTGGTGTGTACCTGTTGTGTGTAGTCCCAGCTACTTGGGAGGCTGAGTCAGGAGGATCACTTGAGCCCGGGAGGCAGAGGTTGCAGTGTGCTGTGATTGTACCACTGCATTCCAACCTGGGCAACAGAGCCAGATCCTGTCTCAAAAAATTAAATAAATAAATAAATAAATAAATACACAAATAATAAAAACAAAATTTGAAAAAGATGCTTGGGCCAGGCACGGTGGCTCATGCCTGTAATCCCAACGCTTTAGGAGGCCGAGGCGGGTGGATCACCTGAGGTCAGGAGTTCGAGACCAGCCTGGCCAACATGGAGAAACCTCGTCTCTACTAAAAATATAAAAAATTAGCTGGGCATAGTGGTTCGTGCCTGTAGTCCCAGCCACTGGGGAGGCTGAGGCAGGAGAATCGCTTGAACCCAGGAGGCGGAAGTTGCAGTGAGCTGAGATCTCTCCATTGCACTCCAGCCTGGGCGACAAGTGAAACTCTGTCTAAAAAAAAGAAAAAAAAAAAAAAAAGATGCTTGAAGTGATTCTTAAAACTGAGCTCATTACAAATAGAGATGTTTGTCTTTTAGGGATGGGACTCTTAGGACTTTGCTGGTTGGAAGGGACTTTCAGAGTCCAGCTTCCTAGATGGCCCACTGGATGTATGACTGTGGGGACAGAAAGCCGCCTTCCTCTAAGGCAGCCAGTTGCCTTGTTAGGCAGCTCTGACTGCTAGAATCTGTCTCCCTGTGGGTTTCTTCCAACCATCTGCACTTAACCTTTGGCATCACAAAGAACAAGTGTTGTCCTTCTGCTCCAAGACAACTCGCCAGGGTTTGGAGGACAGTGATCCTGTTCCCACGGTGGTCTCTCCTTTAGAGCAGGGTTTCTCAGTCTCATCACTGTTGATATTTGAGGCTGGATAATTCTTTGCAGGGACCGTCCTGTGCACTGTAGGATGTTTAGCAGCACCCTGGTCTCTACCTATTAGGTGCTAGTAGCAACCCTTCGACCAAAAATGTCTCCAGATATTGCTCCATGTCCTCTGGGGGCAATATCACCCCCAGTTGAGGATTGCTGCTTTAGCGGAAGTATTTTCATGCTCCCTCTGAGCCTTAGTTTCCTCCTCTGTGAAATGGAGCTAACCCCTACCTCACAGGGTTGTTATGAGGATGAAATGAAAGAAGAGGTTATATGTGGAATCTGCCTTACCCCAAGGAGTACCTGGCCCACACAGTCAATGTGTAGACATCCCTCAGGTACTGAAACTGGTGTGCGTCCAGCTGTATGCCAGGCACTGGGTATGCCAGGATGAATCAGAATTAGTCCCTGTTCTCAGGGAGCTCACAGCCCAAAGGACCTAAAAAAGTGCTTTGCGTCATCATGCCATCCTGAAATCAAAACATTTCCTTTTATGAGCCACTTGCAGACCGCCTGAGGTGTTTGCAACCTGTGTTAGTTGAGTCCAGAGTGCCCAAGTACTCGACAAAGACGTTGGGTTGTTGAGAGGAAGACTTGTTAACTCTCCACATGGGTTCAGCAGAGATTGCCATTAAGTGCAGGCTCTGGTGAGGCCCGGTGACAGAACCCGACAACCAGACTCCTGCCTTCCAGTCCAGCAGGGGGTGATCACACACTCAGAGGACTAGCATAGCGCCTGACAAGGGAAAGGTACTGAATCATCATTCTGGAGCTCAGAAAAGGGGTTTACAAATCTCTGTGGGATGTTGGAGCAGGCTTCCTGGAGGGAGCAGGATTCAGTTAGTTCCTGGAAATGTGGTAAATGTCTGTGGTGCGTGGTCATTACATCAGGAACTTGCGTTTTCTTCCATGTCTCCCATTCTGTCCCTCAAGCTTCCATTCTCCCCAGCTTGTGGGCATGTGTATTTGTGTGTGTATGTCTGTTAATGGGGTGGGAGGGGAGGGTGGTTACCAGAAATAGGTGCCACGTGGAAATTCCCCACCCAAAACGCTGCCTCTTGTCTTTTTCCCACCCCTGCCAAAGGTCACCAAAATTTTCCAGAAGAAGAAGATCTTGGTGACGTACAGTTTCCGTCAGTCTTTCCCCCTCGTGGAAATGCACATGCAGCTCTTCCAGAATTCATGTGAGTCCCTTCTTGGATCCCAGCTCCCAAGAGTCTATGTCATGGCCCCCATGCTCACCCGTCATCTCTACCAGCTCCAGTTTTCGGAGTCCCTTACAACCAGGCTAAGGGTCTCCGAAGCACCTACTTGGTCCCAGGATGAGGGGTAGGCCAGGGTGGAGTATGACTCGGGTCTAGCCCCTGGTTAGCTCATAGTCTTGCAGAGAACCCCAGTGCATGTGTTCTCTGGTGGGCCAAAGAGATGGTGATCACGCTGTGCTCTGAAGGATGAACCAGGAGGAGCTTTGTTTCATGGTACTCTGGGCAGCAGTAGCAATGTGAGTTGAGGTAGAGGTGAGAAGGAAAGAGTTTCAAGACAGCAGTGCAGAGTTGTATGCCTTTACATCCTGCAGTACAGGAAGTAAGGGGGCCACAGCTACCAGGAGTTTGAGGGCTTTGGGGCAAAGGGGAGCTGCTAAATATGCTCAAATGGAGAAGAGGCATGATCAGAGTTAGACAGCAGAAAAATTATTTCATGGGCTAGGTATGGCGGCTCACACCTGTAATCCCAGCACTTTGGGAGGCCGAGGCAGGAGGATCGCTTGAGCCCAGGAATTCGAGACCAACCTGGGCAATATAGTAAGACCCCATCTCTACTGAAAATAAAAAAATTATCTGCACATATGGTGCGTGCCCATGGTCCCAGCTACTCAGGAGGCTTGAGGCAGAAGGATCACTTGAGCCCAGGAGTTCAAGGCCGCAGTGAGCCATAATGACACCAGTGCACTCCAGCCTGGGTGACAGAGAGATGTTATCTCAGGAAAAAAAGAACAGAAAAGAAAAATTATTTTAGGTATGAGCCACCTCCACCAATCCCAACAGAGGTGCCCAGTCTCCCCTTTCTCCACAGATTACCAGTTTGGGATCAAGTTGCTGTCTGCAGTACCTGGTGGGGAGCGAAAAGTCCTCATCATCTTCAATGCCCCCAGCCTCCAGGACCGGCTGCGCTTTACATCCGACCTGCGCGAATCCATTGCGGAGGTGCAGGAGATGGAGAAATACCGTGTGGAGTGTGAGTAGCCCAGCCACGTCTCCTCCCCCATCTCCTGAAACAGTACCCTGCAGAAACCAAGAATCCTATCCTCTGAGAATCTCAGAGTTGAGGGTTAGCTTGTCCAACCTTCCCATGCTCATTTCAAGAATTCTTCAGCCTCTGCTTGAATACCTTCAGTGACAAGGGGCTCATCACCTCCCAGCCCCATTATTATCCCAAACTCTAATTATGAGCCAACTATTCCTTCTAGTGAAAGGTATCAGGGAGAAGAATCAGAGTATTAGAGGTAGGACTGTAGTTTTAGGTCCCAGGTATGCTATTCGTTATCTGGGTGAACTGGAGCTAATTGCCTAACCCGCCTAGCCCCAGTTTCTTCCTACACGAATTTGGGGTAATGAAGTCTCCTTCACGGAGTCAAGGAGATGAAATGAGACAAGGTAGCCGAAATGTCCCAACACATCTTAGGCATTCAAAAAGTCTGTATTCCCTGTCCCACTCTCTCTCCTCCTCTGCCCACATATCAATTCCTGAGCTGAGTCCCAGTGGCCTATCCTCTCCAGGGGCCACACCAAGTCATTTTGATCATATATATATAATGGAAAATAGTGATTACATCTCATTCCTCCCGATGCCCTCCAAGTTTTCTCTTCTCCAGGCTAAGCAGTCACAGTTAAGTAACATGGTGTTAAGGAGAAAGAGGCAGGCAGACAGAAAAAGAGAGACGAGGCGGCGGACAGCTCCTTGGTGAGGCCTTCACAGCTCCAGGGCCACTCTACTCCTCAGCGAGGCAGGGATAGAAGTTTCAGTTCACCAGATCCTTTGAGACCCTGGGAAAATCCCGAGAGAGGGATTAGCAGCCCAAGACGAGGGGAGGCCAGTAGACACATGTTTCTGTGAGCTCTGTGGGGAGGTGGGGCTGTAAGGAGGCCGGAAGCACCCAAGCTCTGGAATCAGGCAGACCTGCTTCCAGAATGTCGGCTCCGCCATTTCCAGCTGTATGACCCTGGGCAAGCTCTAAGACTTCTCGGATTCTCAGTTTCCTCCTCTGCACAATGTGGATGCTAATACTGACCTCAGAACTGTTGTGAGGATTGAGAGAGATCAAGTATGTGTAGCACCCAGCATACTGCCTGGCACTTAATAGAGGATTTGATTCCTGTCAGTTTCCTGCTCCTGCCCTTCCAGGAGCCCCTCTGCTCTGGAGCAAGGTATCTGAGAACTGACTGGACTCTGGAAAGATTGCCCTTTGCCATAGGCTAGAAGGGCCTTCCCGTCCTTACTGTGAACCATCTGCCATGAAGCTCTTTTTTGAAGGGCAGGGGTGCTTTGAGAGACCTGACTGCAAGAGGGCATGGGAGGGGAGAAGTCATAAGAGTGAAGGGAAGGGAAATGGAACAGGGAGAGCAGGCACCAAGAGGGATGAAGGGAAGGCTGAGCAGGAAGGGAGGGTGCAAGACGGGAGCTGGGCACTAAGGGTACTTCGGTGATGGAGCTGCAGTTTTGGGGGAGACAAGGGCTGGTCGTCCAAGGGGCAAAACAGGAAGCCTGGGGACAGAGGGAGGGAGGAGGGAGGAGGAAGGAGGACGGAGGGCTAGGGTCAGTCAGATGGGCTCTCACTCCTGTTCCTGACCTTTGCTCCCTGTCTCCCCGACTGCCACCCAGCGGAGCTGGAGAAGCAGAAAGGTATGATGCGGCCTAACGCCTCACAGCCTGGAGGGGCCAAGGACTCAGTGAATGGGACGATGGCCCGCAGTAGCCTGGAGGACACTTACGGGGCAGGCGATGGGCTCAAACGGGGCGCACTCAGCAGTTCCCTGCGAGACCTCTCTGATGCAGGTAAGCCCTCTGGGCCCCTGCCCTGGCTGGGGAGACACGGGACCAGGTGTCCTCTTTGCCTCCTGTCACTGGCCACCAGCCTTCCCTCCACCTGCCACACACACACGCACCCTGCCTTCACCCAGAGTCCTGGGCGCTGCGCCACAGGGGGCCTGGGAGCCAGGTCAGAGCAGGGGGAGCCCAGCGTTTGGGCCAGGGCATGTGAAGTGGGGCCACAGTCTTGGTGCCTCTCTCTTGCTGCTCCACCTCTCCTCCTCTTCTCCCTCTTCTGTCTCTCCTATACCTCCACTCCTCCTTCTCCATCTTTTCCTCCTCTCTCTCCTCCTTCTCCACCTCTCCTCCTCCCCACCTCCCCCTCTTCAATGGGGGAAAGGGATAATGGGGTGTCTGTCCCCGGGAGGGGCCCAGGCCTGGTGCCCAGCTCTGGAGCCCAGCAGGGTAGGGAGGGGGGGTTGCTGCTCTGACGCTGGGCTCCTTGCTTGTGGGTGCAGGGAAGCGGGGGCGGCGTAACAGCGTGGGATCGCTGGACAGCACCATCGAAGTAAGTGCCAGCTCCTGCCCCACTCGTCCTCTGCATGAGCCCTGCCCCGGCCATGGAGACCCAGAGGAGGAGGGGACCTGTTGCTCCCCCCTTCCCTGCTGAGAACCGTGCGGCTGCCTCTCCCAGCCAACCACTCTCTCCATCTGTCCTCAACTCTGTCTGTCCTCATTCTGCCTGTCTCTCAGCCTGTCTTCCACTCTCCCGTGCCCCCTCTCAACCCCAGGGCCGACGGCGAGTAGGGATGCCCTTGGAGTTGGGCCACGAGAAGCTCTTACCTCCAAGTCCTGCTCTTTGACCCTGGGCGAGTCACTCTGCCTCTCTGGGCCTAACCTTTTCCCTGCCTGCAAAATGGGGATGAGGAGGAGGTACTGCTAATTTCTCCTCTCCCAGCTGAGGCTCAGATGAGATAGTGGATGTGACAGCCGAGCTTTGCAAGCTGGGGAGCTCCACATATGAGTACAGGACTGTGATTTGGTTTTTATTACAACTTGGGGTTCGCTATGTCCCCAGCTCCAGCCCTCAGGGACAGGGGTGGAATTTAGGGCTGGGGGTTTAGGGCATCTAGCCTGGCCTGACTTCCCCCCTCCCCCCTTCCAGGGGTCTGTTATTAGCAGTCCACGCCCTCACCAGAGGATGCCACCTCCGCCCCCACCCCCGCCGCCAGAGGAGTACAAGAGCCAGAGGCCCGTCTCCAACTCCTCATCCTTCCTGGGCTCCCTATTTGGAAGCAAGCGGGGCAAGGGGCCCTTCCAGATGCCACCACCGCCAACAGGCCAGGCCTCTGCCTCCTCTTCATCTGCTTCTTCCACGCACCACCACCACCACCACCATCACCACGGCCATAGCCACGGTGGCCTGGGGGTGCTGCCTGATGGGCAGTCCAAGCTCCAGGCCCTGCATGCCCAGTATTGCCAAGGACCAGGCCCTGCCCCGCCACCCTACCTCCCACCCCAGCAGCCCTCTCTTCCCCCACCTCCCCAGCAGCCCCCACCCTTGCCCCAGCTAGGCTCCATTCCACCGCCTCCCGCCTCAGCCCCACCTGTGGGGCCACATCGCCACTTCCACGCCCATGGCCCAGTCCCAGGGCCCCAACACTATACCTTGGGCCGGCCAGGCAGGGCACCCAGACGGGGAGCTGGAGGACACCCTCAGTTTGCTCCACATGGCCGCCACCCCCTGCACCAGCCCACATCCCCACTGCCCCTGTACAGTCCTGCTCCCCAGCACCCTCCAGCCCACAAACAGGGCCCTAAGCACTTCATCTTCAGCCACCACCCACAGATGATGCCAGCAGCAGGCGCGGCTGGGGGCCCTGGATCCCGGCCACCAGGGGGCTCCTACTCCCACCCCCACCACCCCCAGTCACCATTGTCACCGCACTCACCCATCCCGCCCCACCCCTCCTACCCACCCCTTCCCCCACCCTCCCCCCACACCCCGCACTCACCCCTTCCGCCCACCTCCCCCCATGGCCCGCTGCACGCCTCTGGGCCCCCTGGCACAGCCAACCCCCCCAGTGCAAACCCCAAGGCCAAGCCAAGCCGGATCAGCACCGTGGTCTGATGAATGGAGAGAGTGAGCTGGGGAACAGGAAAGTCTGGGGAACCACAGGAGAGGGACCTTACACCCTCTTTGCTTCCTCGGTTTTTTCAAAAATATATATACACATAGCAATGTCCTCCTCCCCATGTCCTCCCTGCCTTGGGACCCGTCCCCTCACCCCCAGCAGTTGCCATGGGGTTTCCTTCCAGATTCGAGGATCCTTGCCACTTGAAGCCTGGACTCAGGGTGCTCCAGCGCTGGGGAGTGGTGAGGGCCTTCCAGAGATCCTCGTTCTCTTTCTCCTGTCTTCTTCTTCCCCACTTTTCCCTGGAGGTCTAGCTCTGTGGCCTCAGACCTCTGGGCCTGTGTGAGCTCCCTGTCAGCTCTGGCTGGCGGAGAAGGGCAGGTGTCCAAAGCTGTCGAGGTGAAGGCTTCCTCGGGGCTCCTCTGGCCGTGTGGGGCTAGGAGAGTGCTCTGTAGAGTTGTGGTCAAACCTCAGCTGGCTTGGCCCTCTCTCTGACCTCAGGGCCTGGCCACACACTTCCATGTGTCTTTTTGCCTGCTGGAGGACACGGACTGTCGATGCACTCGGTGGGTGGGACCCTGCTTATGTTGGCCCCACGTGGGGCAGTGCTTCCTCTCTCGAGCCAGTCTATGCCCTTTCTCCAGTAGGCCCCAGCCCAGACCTCTTCGGCTTCAGGAACTTGCCTCGCCCTGCAACGTTCTTATCCTGATCAAAGTCCAGACAGGTTTTGGGGGGGCTCAGGTCTGGGATGAGAAGGGCACTGCCCTCCCTCACCCATATTGCATGCCCCCCCCCCATTCCCTTACACCTACCCCACCTACAACTGAAGACAATGCACTTTACAGATATCGCCCACACACACCGCGCTGGGGCAGGGCACCCAGCATCAGCCCTGGGGAGAGAGGCTCCCAAAGGGCCACCATGAGCCCAAGATGTCCTTCCTGAGGCAGAGATTGAAGCCATCAGAGCTGGGGTTGGGAGCCAGAATGCCTGAGTCCTTCTGTCCATCAGAATCTCCGCTGCCTCTCCAGCCCTTTTGCAGCCCTGTTTATTTATTATAAATATATTTTTTACAAGCCCCAGCTCCTCTTCTTGCCCCGCATATCCAGCTCCTCGCTCAGCTCCTGTCTCCCTCTCCCCTCTCCACCATGGGCTACAGTTACAGACAGACAGAGGGACCCTGGCTGTACGAAGGGCCAGGGCCACTGGGGCTTGGGGGCGGGGGAGGGTGACAGTGGAAGGGGCTGTATGGAGAGGAGCTGGGGTTCAGGCATTGTCTTTTTTCCTCCTTGTATATAAGAATGTATATTTGATGCCTCATAAAAGACCTTGTGCTCACCTCCTGCCTCTGCCTCCTACTTCTGCGCCCCTTCCCCACTGTGGAGCCCGTGGAGAGAGGCCTTAGCCCAGGGAGGTGATGCGCTAATGTTAGAAATTCGGGCACCTGGGTGGATGAGATGCTTTGCTTGGAGGGAGGTGGGAGTGAGGGAGGTTTTTCTATCTCATTTCATGCACAGTTTGCGTGACAGAGTGGCAAGAGTATGGGCTTTGGAGTTGATCCAGTTCACATCCTGGGGTTTTCATTCCTAGGCATGTGAATTCGGGAGAGTCACCCTCTCTGAGTCTCCGTTTCCTCAGTGTAAAACTTGGGCTGATAAGCCGTTGCCACATGGAGATGATGATGATTCCCAGGAGTAATGGATGCCAAGGAGCCAGGATAGAGCTGAGCAAGTTAGTTCCCTTCTCTTCCTTTCATAGGATGGATGCTTCCTTCCACTCTTGGGGCATCTCCTCTCACCCTGGATGTGGCTGGCCTGGCCTGGCTTGGGAGCTTCTCCCTCATCCCCACAATGGCTGGCCACATTTCTATCCTTGAGGGTGGGAGAGTGATTTGGAAGGCACAGGGCTAGATACATTTTAAGAGCTCTGCATATATACTTGGGATGTTAGATAACAAATAGCTGGACTCCCTTTCATGTACAGAGAAGGGGACAGGCTGAGAGAAGGGAAGAGTCTCTCCCAAGGCCACTCAGCAAGTCAGGATGGGGTTTCCTGACTTCTAGCCCCAGGGCCCTTTCCAGTCCTCCCAAACCTCTTCCCTCTGAAACGGATGTGTTTCTAGGATCACTGATTATGTCCTGGATCTTAGCCTAGCGCAGGAGAAGTGGGGTTGAGCCATGGTTCTTGGTTAAAGTCAGCAGGCTCCCCAGAAGCAGCATTCAGTCACTATTTTTGCTGCCTTCCTAGAATCTGGAATGGCCTCTAAAAGGGAATGGTTTGGATGGCCTCGCTCTTAGCAGCTCGGACCAATTATTTGTTTTCTTCCTTGTATGCATGTTCAAAGGTGTCCCAGGGAAGACAACTAGCAAAAGCAGCAGCTGGGGCCACCTACACATTTGATGCTGCCTTATGGACCAGACGTGAGGGTTTGAAGAGCTTAGACCCACAAGGTCCTGAATCAAGTCCAATCAACATTTTTTAGTTTTCTTCCCTGCTGGACCAAGCTGCACGATCGTTTCCCTACCTTCAGCTTGATTCTGGTCGCATTTTTCCAAAGCTCAGCTTTTAGCACTCAAATCCTGGCTCAGTGACTTGCCTGTGCTGCATTTGGCAAGTCACCTAACCCTTCAGAGCCTGGCTTTCCACCTGTAAGATGGGGATAATAACCTTGCAGGACAGTTAACAGATGCATGTGAAGTGCCTACCTCATGGCCAGACACACAGTAAGCCACCTACAGAGACCACTTATCTTTACATGGGAGGTGTTCCACAAGGTGGCCCAGCCAATCTCTGTGGTCCTAACTCTCATTCCTCACCCACACATTGGCCATCCACTTACTGTTCCCCAAAAATGCCTCTGTGTACTTTCCAAACTCAGCATTTTACTTGTGCCTTTCCCCCCTGCCACGATACTCCCCCCAACATTCCTGATGAAGGTTTTCCCAACCCTTGCAAGATGGGCTTGAGGAACCCATCCTTCACAAAATGTGCCCTTCATCACATTCTCTGAGATCCTTCCCCACCATACCTTAAGTGGCGTGGGAGTGACACTGGTCTGAATCATCCCCATCCAGAGCATTGCCCCATATAGTGCCTGGCACAGCCCAGATGGTACTAAAATTTTGTTGATCGAATGAATGAACGAACGGTTCTTTCTAAGTCTCAGAGTTAGATATCTTTGCATTGGTTGATTTACTGATTGATGCAACCTGTGTACCAAGTTTCCGGGCCCCTCTGGGAGCTCCTCATGCTTCCTTCAACTGTTTCCTAAATTCTCCTCCTCCAGTCCTCATTGCAGTCCCAGCGCTGGGCTGTCTGTGCTCCTCACCCCCTCCACCCCTCCAGAAATGCACTGTCCAGACTGTGGAGGGGTAGTTAATCTCCTCACTTCCCCATTTCTCTGAGGACCTGAAGACAGCAAGCCCACTGACTATTCTTATATCAAAGGTGCTGCTGCCAATCTCTCTGGGGATACAGATGGGGAGAGACAACACATAACAAAGAACAGAATTGCTTGAACCCGCGAGGCGGAGGTTGCAGTGAGCCGAGCGAGATCACGCCAATGCACTCCAGCCTGGGTGACAGAGGGAGACTCTGTCTCAAAAACCAACCAACCAACAAACAAACAAACACAAAGGACAAAGGTCCTAGAATCTCAGAGTTCTTATGTTTGTTCTCCAGTGCTGTCCAGTAAGGTCTGTCTGTGATAAGCAAAATGTCCCATACCTGTGCTGTTCAATATGGTAACCACTAGCCACATGTGGCTACTGAGCACTCAAAACGTGGCTAGTGCAACTGAGGAACTGCACTTTTCATTTTATTAAATTTAAATGTAAATAAATAAGCACATGTGGGTAAGTGGCTACCACGTCAGACAGTGTAGGACAAGAGTTTCAGGAGTGGACAGACAGCCTGGTGGGGATAATGTGAAGATGATAAAGTAAGTACACGCCCAGAAGGAAGCCCTGGGTGTGTGGGAACACAGAGGAGGGGAAAACCCAACTTGGGGTGTGTGGGTGGGGTCAGGCATCGTTTTCTGGAGCCCCCCCTTTTAGTGGAGTAGTCCTGAAGGGTGAGTAGGACTTAGCCTGACAGAGAAGGGCATTTGTTAGAGGGAGCAGCGCATGAAAAGGCCTGGAGGTGTGAGCGAATGCAATGTGTTAGTAGCACAGTAAGAAAGGAATGGGAACTGGAGCTCCAGCGGTGGGCACAGCACATGGTGCAGCGTGGAGACAGGCAGGTCTCCCCAGCTGCTCCCTGTTACTCTGTTGCCAACAGGTTTCTCACGCTGGCCTCAGCAGCAGCTAAAGTAAGACCAGGTAACAAATTGGGCTATCTAATATCTCCACTGTAAAGTTACCACTTTCCCCATTGTAGTGGATGAGTATCTTGTGGAGAGATGAATGGAAATGTTGTTACTCTCAAACTTCCACTCACTGGTTTTAGCGTTCACTGGAACAATTATTATGGCTGGGGTTGTCAAATGGTGATTTTCAAATGCCATCATTCTTTCAATATGTATTTTTTTTTTCTTTTTTGAGGCAGGGTCTCATCCCATTGCCCAGTGCAGTGGTGCGATCATAGCTCACTGCAGCTTCGAACTCCTGGGTTCAAGTGATCCTCCCACCTCAACCTTCCATGTAGCTGGGACCACAGCCACACACCACCACGCCCAGCTAATTAAAAAAATTTTTATAGAGATGGAGGTCTTGCTAGGTTACCCAGGCTGGTCTCAAACTCCTGGCCTCAAGCAGTCCTCCCAAAGTGTTGGGACTATAGGCATGAGCCACTGCACCCGGCCTGGGCATGTCTTAGTTGGCTTTCCACTATAAGGGAGGGCTTTCCCTTCTACATGTATTTATTTATATCCTTATGGACTTAATGATTGTTTATTTCACTCAATGGTTTATATGTAACCCATTAACATCATTCTTTATTTTGATATTCACAACCCCAGATTTGGCCAGTAAGAAGCCCTCTAAGCCCCTGTGTCCTGTGGCACATCTCCATCTTTTTATGAGCCCTTCCAAGGAGCCCTGGTTTTTTGTTTTTTTTAGTAGAGAATGACATTTAGAAACCAAGATTTGGGCACTAGGTGTTACAGCAATATTTGAAGAGCTTGCTCTTTTATTTTGTAAAGGTTTGAGCATCCATTGATGATTTTCTAGCTCCATCATTCCTTCTATATAATTTAGAATTCTACTTTCCCTTTTCTCTCACTTTATTTACTTATATCAATGTGGAGTCATGGATTTTTATTTTAACCAGTGAGTTGTAATCCACTACTGTCATAATTCATTTTGAATTCACATTATTTTGGATAAATCATTTTGTTGTTATGTATATGTATTAAGCACATACTATACATCTATATTTCTATACCAGACATCGATATTTCTCTCTCTGCCTCTGTCTAATAAACCACGAGTTCACACAGATACCTTGAGGAGGCTCTTTTAAGAGTAAAGGCTAGAGATAGTAAAAGGCTCACAAGAGGAGTGGAAGATGGCGAGGAGGAGGGGATGGATTCTAGAGCTATTTAGGAATCAGAACCAACAGCTCAAACCTACTTCAGAGCTGGAAGAGACCATATTTTACAAACCAAAAAAGTGAGACACAAAGTCAGTGTCGCCCAGTTGATACACAAAACACGAATGGGGTGAGTGTGGTTTTGAGCCCAGATGAGCCTTCCAGTCACTGCTCTGCACCAACTCCATGTCAGACCCTGTCTCCCAGGTGGATAGGTGAGGCCAAGCCAGCCCCCAGCCTGGGGTGAGCTCCTTGATGCATCCCAGTTCTTAAGTCCGCAGCGCCTAGACTCTGGTTGGCCCCCAGCAAGACCCATGGCTTGGGGAACAAACCCATTTCCTGAATGCCTTACTACATTGGGAGCACCATCTGAGACTTTTACAGGTAGAGTTGTACAACAGTCAGACAGACCTGAGTTTGAGTTCTGGTCCTGCACTTACTAGCCATGTGAGGTGAATATGTTTACACTTCCCTGAGCTTCAATTTCCTCATCTGTAGGATGGGGATAACAATACCTACTTCATAGCACCTGGCCCTTGATGAATGGCAGTCATCATTATCTCTAATCCTCCTAACAACACTGTGAGGAAGGGATTATTTAGCTTCATTATATAAAGGAGAAAAGGCTCAGGAAGGTGAGGTAGTTGGCAGATCTCAGTGGGTGCATGTCAGCTCCAGGAAAGTAGAGACTACGTCTGTCTTGGTCACCATTATATTCCCAGTGCCCAGAAAATTTTCTGGTGCATAATAGAAATTTAATAAATATTTGTAAACGAATAAATTCTATCTCATTGGCTTCAAAGACTAGTG